TGTAGTTTGGAATAGAAATTTTACTAGCACCAATATTTGTTAGAAAATGCAATGACGTACGGACAAATGTTTTCGGTACCATAATCCCCCATTAAGTACATTTTCGTCAAACTCGAAATTAAGTTTTTGATGCATGACATAACTTTCTCTAGATTTCAGAGAGTAAAATGAATCTCCCTTCTATATGTAATCTATGCCATAACATTTCAACAAAATATATAAACACATGTAGATCTAATAAGCATTACGATGTAATCTTAAATTGTTTTATTTCAATGTTGTGTACATGTGTTCAGAACATGTCCGACAAGAACGGAAACGGAGTTATTTCCCTTTAATTTTTGTTTATCTGAGGAAGTGTGCTGCAATGTGTACTCCGCATGTTATAGCCTTCTGAATGATAAGGGAAAGAATGACTAACCTAAGACTTTCCGAACTTGATTCATTGTGTTTAGAAAGATACTCTCTCTGGATGCCTCGGAAGAAGCATGAGCTGTTCCTAGTGGTTTCCGCCTTCGTAAGCCATGAATATCATTCCATGCAACTACGTAAACCTGTATGGAAAGTTCAGGAAGTTTCCTATGGACAGAGGTTACAAACTGATAAGTAAAAACAATACATTCCGATTATTATAAACAAGAACTTAATTGGGATTTCATAACTTTTTCCAATATATGTAAAAGAAAAAGAAACAAATTTATTTCTTGAGACAACAGCAAAAGCTTTTATTGTATTTTGTGAAATTGTCTCCGTACCTTTACCGGGCCTTTGTGTAGGAATGGGAGTATTGGAGATCTGTATCATCTTTCTATTAATCATATTCCATTCACCTTTCAATTTTCGAATGATTAGACCATAATCAGTGATCAAACCTTTTTCAAGAAAAAGAAGTCTATAAATTACACATCCAAAGCTGAAGGCAATCTAATATATCGCCTTATGGAAGCATACAAATAAGGTTATAAAATTGCTGCCCTTTATTATTTAAATAAGAATTTGAAATGCCATAGAAATGCTTGCAATTAATTATTTTAAAATAAATTATCACAAATACAACAATTAAAACCTGCTTACAGCGTTCATACTGCAAAACACTTTATATGCCAACTACGGAAATCCTTTGAATTTCAAACGTCCGTGTCGCCTCATTGCTACTGTCGTATTGCGACATGATATCTTCTGTACTTCGTTTTTCAAGCAAAAGAAGCGCGGGGAATTCGAATTTGTACATTCGAAGGTGCAAAATCTACGCCTGACTAGTCATATTTTAAAAATAGTACATGATCAATATTGTTGTTTTGCAATGCTTATAGTTTACCACATTTTAAAATTACAGATATCACAGAAAATGAGCCATTTGCCATTTTTATAAGTGTACTTTGCTCATATCGAGAGAAAAATTTAAGAAAAGTTTGGAGACTTTTGGATAAACAGAAACTTACAAATTGTATTTATTACTCGCAAAATTAAGCGACAATTCTAAAATTTTCCAAAAATTGTACAGGATCTTATTTAGAGAGTTGTCTTTGAATAACAGATTTCACAACGAAACTAGTGATATTTCGGAATTTCACAGACTTTCTCTAGTTAGTTTCCTTATCTCTTCAGTCTGGACTACCGGTTTTGTCTCACCTGCCTTGGCGCCTATTTTTTTCACGTTTCTTCGATTTTTCGGACACCTAATAGTAGAATTTACATATGACTAAGAATATTACAGGATGATAAAATATGGTCCCTTCTGCACATTTTCATTGGGAACTTTGCAGTCGTTTTTAAGATAATATCGTTTAATCGTTTTGAAAGTGTGTATTTTGAAACTCATTTTCACCCAAAACTTACGAGTTGTCAAGAAACATCATAAGAAATTATTTGAAACACTTGTACTCACAAATACAATAAAATATAATAAATGCCCGCAAATTAACATCAGAACATATTGACGAAAATAGGATAGTTACACTAAAAATTATGTGGTGCCACTACCTCTATTACTGAAGAAGTTGCAACTCAGTCGAATACAGTAATAACACGATTTTCACAGTAAAGCAGGAATGAATTCTTTTTGCTCTATTTTTTCTCAAATTTTGGTGCCTTTCAGAAATACTGTGAAGCCGTTCAAAGCAGAGAGAACTCACTTACCGGGCGAATTGGCACCAAAAAATGAAATATGTGCAACGATGTATGTATGTACTTGCCGCGATAGCCCGTGAATGGGCTCAGGCCTTCAGATCATCCAAGGATGCCATTTTAAAAATCGAAGAAGTTTAAATCTGCCTGATAAACGATGCTCCTAATGAGAGTATACCGGTGATATTTTTTTCATTTCGATCGATTCTTTTGAACTCAGTCAGTATTTTGAGTGATTGTAACATACAAGGAATTCTCCGCGACATTTGTCGAACGGGAAATTCGACCGTCGTAGTCGACAAGGTCGTTGCAATGCCCAGCGCCTTGCGGCGCTCCGTGCAGCAACGACCGTTTACCTGCTTTTCGTACGATTTCATACTCTTTTATGCTGCCTCATTTATACCGCTATACTCTCTCTACCTGTATCGCAGTGGCAATTATCGTTTAGAGGACTAAACACGCGCTAGACATCTTAATCCATTGCGTTGTCAAACGATGAATTTTTTGTCTGAATGTTTTTGAGAACTGTAGAAAACTTGGGCCGCAGTTGAGACTTCTTGTAAAATTTTGAATTTTCCCACTGTAGCCCGCAGCCCTTTTTTGGCTTTTAAATGCAATTTCTTGTTATAATTTTCGAAATTTCGCAGAACTTTTTTCGAAACTTTTTGAGAACCGTATAACTCTTTGTTCGTTACTCAAAACTTTCAAAATATTTAAGATTTTCAAAATTCAGCCCGCCAACTTTAGACACCTATAGCGAACTTACATATCTGCTATAACGTCGGGTTTTAAAACTCATTTGTGTTTATAATTATTGTTCATCAAATACCAACATATTGTTGAATTTGTCTTCTCAAGATCTTTCTAATATAGTAAAGAAAATAATGTTCCATTAAAAAAATTAAATTATTACTATATCTATAAAATAAAACATGCTATCAAAAAGCTCATGACTACAACTCACGAGCCCCCATATTTTGAATCGTTTGGTGAAATATCTGGAATCATTCATAAAATATTCGAGGTGGCCTTTTTTATTGACTAACCGTGCACAGAGCGTTCAAAGTGCTCTCCGCAGCGGCTCTGCGGAAATGACAACATCGCGGTCTGAACATCGTCGGCACCTTCGCCTTTGTCTGTTTCGCAACAGCAACAAAGGAGAGTGATGTAAAACATGAAATGCAGTGAAGGAAAAAAAAAGAAGAAGAAATACCGACACAAAAGAAAAACATTTGAAATAAACAGTATCTTTTTTTACTTTCCAAAATTATCTTATTACATCATGTGTTGAAAATGTTTACCAGGCTTTTTAATGTTAAGCGTTGCCCTTTTACGAATATAATCGGAAACTCTTTTTAACATTTTTTGAGACAGGGATATTACATACAAAAATATTGAGTATTTTAATTCCTCAATGATCTTGGGGCGAGTATTGTAGACATTTCTTTTAGCCGCTCTCCAGAAAAAGAAATCAAGTGTGAAATCTGGTGATCTCAGCGGCCATAGCTCATAGTATTTATTAATCATCCGTGTATTTATTATTTGCTCGAAACATTTATGTTCAATCAAAAATAGACGTTCTGCTAGTGTCAGCATTCTAACAGGTATAATTTGACTCACAACAAACAACTTGTACGTAGCCAAACTGAATGTGTCATTCGGATACGAAGATAAAAATCATGTATTTTTATTTCAACTACTGATTCCTTGCAGCGAGCGCGCTTCTGAGAATTACAGTCGAACGAATTCGCGCTGATTGTGACCGAGATGTTGCTTTTTCCGCATAAAGGATGGTGGAGATGGAGACAGCGACTGCGGAGAAACTTTTTGAACGCTCTGTGGTATATCTCTGAAGTTTTGTTCTTCGACTGGTTTTCAAAGGGTGGGTGGTAAAATAATGTCCATGATACTATCATGTTCAATATTGCCCACTCGCACATCCAACAAAATCTTTGAAAATCTGCATTTCCGGCAATGACTCTCACGTTTTCTGTTAGGTGTGTTCGGACATGTCTCCTGATCACGCAGAGGCTCTCAAAGTGTGTGGGACGTGAGAAGGTTTGAAAAATGTATTGTATTTATTGGTCATTATCAAGATTCGGGATAAGTGTAAAAGAAGAGTACCCGAGATTGCATGTAACAGCTAGGAGAATGCCAATACCATTTGCATGCTATGTGATTTCCTGCCCTTGCATGTACACAGTAAAGTCCAAGTTTACATGAAAACTAGATACAAGTAAAGAACTAAGAATTATACAGTCGGAAATTTCACTCCGTTTTATAAAGTTTTGTGAAGACAAAAAACAGGCGCTCCCATCACATTAGAAGTGTTTATTAAAACTCTTATGAATACATTTTTTTATTAATGTTTTAAAATGTTCGCTAATAATCATATATAGGATCCGGCAAAAAGACCTCTCTTATTTCAACAAAGAAAGATACAGGAGAAAAAAAATATTTGTGATCAACAAATACTATTCGGTTCTTGGCTAGAAAAATTTTATCCTCCATTGCTGAGACGTTGACAAAGTCTTTCCCGAAAGTTGTCCATAGTTCGTTGGGATCTCACCCTTCGTGTCACTCACAAGCAATTTTTGTGAGTTGTTTCCTGGACGTATTCTCCCTTCGCGAGGAGACATCATCTGTCCACCTGACCCCACGGTCACTCGATTTATCACCTTGTGATTTTTACTTTCTCGCATTTATTTCTTAAGAATATGAAGTAATGTTTTTCAGAAAACTTATCGCCGAGCCCTGACAACGAAAAATTGCATAAATGTTGTTCATACATGGCTCAATCCAAAAGACATGACAAGTTCATCTGTCAATAAAGCTGCAGGAAACAAAAATCAGGATATACGATTGAAAGTCGCATGAATGTTCTTCGCAGTGCTGGTACTCTATTGGGATCCGGGTACAAGGCGCTATGGGTAAGAGACATTGAAAGATGCGTAAATAGAAATCATTGTTTTATTCGTATTACATATGTACAAAACAAAACAGTACGTCTAATTCTTGTACTCTCTCGAGCTAACAACCTTCATCATAATCCCCCTAGGCATTCACACTACTTTGTCAACGAAGGTGCTGAATACCATCAGCTGTGTGATGCGTCAATGCGCGCCACGTCTCGTCGATGTCCTCCCTGCTTGCGAACCGGTCCCACGCAGCGGCGTCTTCATTTTTGGAATGAGATCAAAGTCGCACAGTCTGAGATCAGAGGAGTAGTACGGAGGGTGTCCCAAGATTTCCCATCCCCACCGCCGCCCATGGTTCTGACCACAGACTGAAATGTGGTTTGATGCATTATCATGGAGCAGTATTGCATTATTGAGAAGACCTGGACGTTTCCTCCGCAGTGTACGACGGAGTGTGCAGCAGGAATGATCTGTAAAACGTGTCAGTGACAGTTTGGCCCTCACGAACAGGATGACACACGAGAATATCTTGGCTGTCATCGGCTAACATAAGCATGACCTTCGTGGGTGATAAATTCTGTCGAACCTTGTCTTTCATGGACCGATTTTAAGCGCCTAAAATCGTAAGTCCAGTAATGGTACAGGATGGTGAAGGGCCTATAGGATACCTGGGAGTGATGATCGGGTAGTACGAGAGTCGCCAGAGGAGTAGGTCTCTTATGCATCAATATGTGGCAACAGGAAAGAGGATTGGGGAAACAGAAATGGTATCGCCAACTGAAAAAAAAAAAGAACGGCAATTCCACTAGTACGAGGAAGTCGGTAACATTCGTACCGTTCTTCTGTCCGAGCTAATCTCGGGAAAATAGATTTTCTTGTTGTTATATCTAGCCTTTTTAATTATTTCATTTTAGAATTCCATATGTTTGTATTTCAAAAATTGTATAGTTAATAATAAAATTACGTATACATTTCTACTCATTAAACGTTCTGTACAGTTCCATGTCTGCTAGAAGTGAGGAAGAGAATCGGAGATCGGTTGATTTGTTTGTATTCCGCCGAGGTATAATAGAGCTCGACGATGTTTTAAAGGCGACACCTAAATATTCTATAGTTTTAAAACACTAAGGTTTTACGTTTAGACAGAAGTTTGAGCTTTCTACTAAACTAAATTTCGTTATTATTGTTTCAGAGTTTGCAAAATCTACCTAATTTCATTCGTCTTAGAGAATAATTACTCAACGACTTGAATCAGAGAACATAGATACTCGTATTATGCCTATTCATTAAATAAATCCAATACCTCTATTCTCTTTCTTATCTCACCCACCATCTCATCTTTTTTTGTGTCTGAATACAGCCCTCCCGTCTCCATTTCTCCACCTCTATGTACCCAAAAAATTAATCTAATCCTTTTTCTTCAACCCCATATTTCCTTCATGACTTATCCTCACTATAAAATATATCTATTCTGTGCATTACTTTAAATAATATCTCCTCTACTTCAAACAATATCAGTCCCCTGATTGTACCTTACTGTTAAGACGGGAGATGCATAAAATTTTGCAAAAAAACATTAACCCTTTTTCCGACCTTATAAAGCAGAATTTAAGTACATACTCTTTTTACGAATATATCAAAAACGGGGATGAAATACAGAAACAGTAGATCCCACATTTTTGATCAACAAATTTTCTAGTAAATGTTAGTTGATCATTTTGTATAGAAAAATGAGACGTCGAATAAATAAAAGTCAAAACGAATTTAGTTTCGTCGGAGAAAGGGAGAATTTGTTAGACCCTGGTGTGAGCGGGAGAGCGGGGTGGCGGAGCGTGGCGGAACGAGGAGAGCGGGGCGAAGCGACTACGAAATTATATGCAGTTTACTTCCTAAACAGAATTCATTCCTTTCTCTGTCCAATAAGTGTTGGTGATAAATGTCCGTGTCATATCGGGTTACTTCCGTTACTTATATAATAAATTAATATAGAACTATTAATTATTACACTAAACAAATACTCACGCAGTATGTTAAGAACAATAGCCTTTAAAAAATGAATTTTTGCAGTAGTGCACCGTATGTGCCAATTCTCTCGTTCATCCAAATGCTACGTTATTTCTCCATGTAATGGAGTAGTAGAGTGATAAGAATATTGAAAATCGTTGTATAAAAAGTAATGTAAATTACTCTGTTTATTACAAAACATTTCTTCAAATTGGAAGATAAACGAGTCATATTTAAAGTTAGCAAACATATTTGCAAAAAGGAGAAATAATGTAAATAGCGCAGGGAGTAGAGGTCACAATTAGGTACGTCTTTGCGCCATAGCTGAAGCCGATACATTCGACTACATGTAGTTTAGATATTGAAGAATTAACCTATAGACTATATAGATATTACGCAAACCTTAGAAATAGTGCGAAGAAATTTGTTCAATATTATTTCAGCACTACTTTTAAGAGCTCCCAGAACATCCTGGCGCACGTCCGATCACAGTGACGAGCACTGGGCTTGCGTTTTCCCTGCTTGCAGAAGGGGTAGATTTTTCCCCAAACGCAAGAGGGTAGTCAGAGAATTTAAACTGGGAAGTGCCGTAAGCTCATGCATCTTTCCAAAGTTTACTTAAATTTGTAAGGATTATGAAACTTGGTCGCATTCTGAACAGAATATATTAAAGAATTTGTTATAGGTTAGATTTTTAATGCGCTAAAAGACATATTTCACAATTTTTGAACAATTGAGAAAAGTATGGAGACGTATTTTATTTGTAGTGGCCAACTTATTGTAAATATTTACTTCGATCAAAATGTTTCGGAATTCGTTCTAAATGAAATAGTAGACGTCTTGCTACAACTACATTATTGAATATAGAGATTTTTCTCTCAGTTAAATTGTTCCTTAAAAACAGATCAAATAAATTTATGTTCAATTTTTCAAAAATATCAGTAGTTTTCGTGTAATTTTACCCAAAATACAGGCAATTAATTTTTTTTACATTTTTTCTCAAAAATTACAACAAATTTTTCTTCAAATTTTCTCCTCGTATGTATTAAGAAACGGTAAAACGTATGGTGCTAGTTCCTTTTTCGGCGGACTCTCCTCTCTTTCGAAAATTGCAAAAATTTCATATTGTAAAAGTTTTGGTTTAAGAGAATTACATAGTTTTTTTAATTGCTGCGGCCCGAGTTTGAAACAAACGACGCTTCTGTGGCTTAGTGGTGTGGGCGACGGCGCGTTAACTGTGTGAACCTGAGTTTGGGTCTCAATGCGGAAAATAATTTTTGATGGTTAAAAACATTTTTACATGTTTACATAGTGTAATATAACGAAGCAATTAGAAATAATGCGAGAAAGTATGTGCTTATGTAGCTTCACTAGTTTTTATTCGACTTACCGCCATCTAATACAATAATGTCATATATTTGACGATTTGAAAGTGGTGTCTCGTAAGGGTAAAGGTGACGAAAAAGAAACAAGAGAAAAGATCAGAGTTGAGAAGATAAAACAGTGAGGTCATATCCACCAGTGTTGTGGTTAATTGTGTGCTCCGCGATGTCTGTTTCTAAAGTCGGCAATAGAAATTGTTACAATGATCCCAATACTAATAATTCATACGTCGTACAACATGCGGAACAAGAATTATTTCACAACAGCGCTGATATTACTTTCTCGCCATTCTACGTACTTACGCCATTCTACGTACTACATACTTACATACTACGTACTTCATAGTGTTGGAATGCTGCGACAAAATCGGCGGTTTTCTTCAGAAAAACTCATATTGTGGGGCACTGATATCAAATAAATGAATGTGATTTGTGTAGTAAATTAATTCCTTTAAACGTTATATTTAAAAAATTGAAAATGAAGGGTGGAAAGTAGAGTTCTAGTAACTTTCAACAGATTTGTGAAAATTTGGAATACGTTTCGTATCTTCAAATACTTCGATCATCTTTCTTTGACCTAGCGCGTTAGCGGGGGAGCGCTGCGTGATCTTTGGTGGTGGACTGTGGCAACAAATCAAAATTACTCAAAAAAATGCTTATATGATAATATGTATATAACTGGATTCGTCTTTGTACGCTCGCTACGATAGACTAAAAATGTATAGTTTCATTTGAAAAAAATAAAGTTACCTCAATATGTCGTAAAATACAAGTGATAAAATAGAAATGAATACATGTATCAATTAGCCCGATTCCCTCTTGCACATCCATGAAAACTGCATTGCAATAACTTCAGCTGTTCAAAAACTGCAAGTGGTGTTTAAGTTATAAAGACCCTATAAAGACCATGTGTATTCACAATTAACATTTTATAGATCCTTGACAAATTCTTTTCTCAAAAACGGCTTGAAATGTTTTCTTCCAATTTGGTCTTCGGATAGAGAAAAGGGCACTTAAAAATGGCGTATATCTCATTTTCAGTCAAATTTCTGGATTTTATAAAAGTTAAAGGTAATGCGAGAAAATATGTACTGTTTTTACTTCGAAGCTACCCGCTGTCGCTGAGCTAATCGATACATTGTGGATGCTTATGGGATGAGGTATGTAGGAACGTGAGGAATGTTGATAGAAAATGCCAAAATTAATGCTTTTTTTATTTTCCCTTTTTTTACCGATTAGCTTTTACACCTAATATGAAGTATATTTGGACCACTCTTGACCCAGATTATGCTGTCTTGGCCTCAGCACAATGCGCACATTCAGTGAAGGCAACCATCATACATTCTTTTACACAGTTGTACTTGGAAACCACGACCCTTCCGAAGTAGGCGATGAGCGGTTTAACAAGTACCGTCCTAACCCCGAGACGAATTGTTAACTGCAGTGAATTGTCATTCGAATAAAATAATGGAAAGAGAGCTTTCCTGCTTGATCAGATTTCAGGTACTATTTGTGTGGTTACCAAGATATTTAAACATTAAAAAAATTAAAATGTGTGTGACGAATGGGGACAAAATACAATCTATGCACATTTTCTTGGGCCCCGCAACCCTACTCTAGCTCTTACAATATAGTAAACATTCCTTTTGAATTATGAATAAAGCAACGAGCGTTTTGGCAAAATTTGATAGTAAGTTATATTCGTCGAGTCGATTCACCAATTCGAGAACATGGAGAACGATGAATGACACTAAAATACTGACGAAATAAATAAATTCCAAATTAACACCCCACAAAGCTCAATAAATAGTGCATAAATAGTGAAGCTATGATTATGTCTAGAAGCAAAGCGAGAAGTCATCTCAGCATTTGCTCAATGGAAATGGGAAATACGTCGCAAAACCTGATCGCGATGGGGACCTAGAAGCTCAAGTAAAATACTTATTACAGACACATATGTTAAAGAATTATGCAGTGAACTATGCACCATTATTAAAATTAATATTTTTTGTTTTTGTTTTTGCTACGATGACCATTTGATGTGAGTTGTGAAAATGTACCAAAAAGGAATTAGAAGAACAATTGACTCAATCGTCTGCTGCCATTATTTGTCATCGAATTCTTTACTGGCTTGTATTCTATCTCTTTATGTATCCATTCATATTATGATTGATGGAAAAACACATTGAAAACGGGGTAGCAATGACATCACATTGTTATAGTAGTGACAGTGCTGACACATCTGCATGTCCGCAATTTCCGTGGAACATTTGGTCGAGTTTTCCTTGTGGATGATAATGACACCCTCTCATATCAAATAACTTCCACTTGAATGTTCGCAAACAGAAGGCGTTACCCATGTTGAGATGACTGCATATTAACAAGACCGTTTCAAAAAACGTATATTTTATGATCAGTTTTCGGGATATTTCCTACTTCATTTACTTTAGATTATCCTCTCATTTTTTAAACCGTGTACGTTTTTGTTTATAATATTTTTTAAAAGCAGTGAGTATTTTTTTGGGTTTATTGTATTTTTTTGTACATTAGCCGGTTATAATCTCAAGCATGTAGTCAATTGACCACAGCCTGAAGTACATAATCAACTTTCCAGAACAGTTTTCAACGTTTTCGGGGTTTTATCTAATATTTTTGTGGATATCTGTACTCGTCTATACAGCTCCATCCTCGCATTAAATATATCGGGTTGGATACTAGCAAGTGTAGTATTTATGTTCTGGCGTTTTTTAGCAATCGAAATTTGCATTGAGTTATCGATGTTTAATTTCTTGCATGTCTCTCCAAAAATATTTGCGAAAAATATTTGTAATATTTGCTATGAATCTCTGGGTCGCGTATTATCTAATTCGGCAACTAGAGCTAATGATACACAACAAAGTCCTTAACATTTATCATAAATGTGTATCGCTGTATCAGTTTTTTTTTAAATTCAGTGTTCAAACCGAGCTTTTGAGCAGTTCTTCCTTCGAGCAATAAAGAAGAAGCATATATATATATATATATATATATATATATATATATATATATATATATATATATATATAACGAGGCATACGAAAATATTTTTCCCAGCGTTCTTCGATGAATATTTCGTGTTCTCGGGGACGTCAATTGCAATGGTACCCTTAGAACAGTGGATGATACATTCCGGGAGATGGTGCTGCTCCTCTCCTGCTAGAACGCGTGTCGATCTGCACGTGCTCTTGCAGTGATTTCCCCCTCCAAGTATCTCCGCTAGAGGAACATCTCTCCAGCTGCGACAAGCTCTTAGCTCCCCATTACTCTGCCGACATTTGTGATAGTAAAGTTCATGAAAGTTTGTATGTGCGTACGTGTGTGTTTAAAGGGCAGGGGACACGGATGAGGAAGGAGCGATTGCGCGGGGTCCATGGCCCATTTATTAAGGTACTGCTCCGGTATTCGCTTGGTATTGATCGGGAAAACCACTGAAAACTACCGATCAGAGCAATTGACCATTAGAATTCTCTTCCAGACCATCTGAATTCTACCAAGCTAATCCGTTATCGTCGGGTGTTCTTCTAGAGTCAGCCGGACTGACATGTTTTTCAGTTTTCCTTCTGAAATCAAAGCATGAATTTGTGTGATGATATTTGCATGATTATGATAGTAATTTCCTTTAGTATAAGTAATCCAGGAAGCGAAAGGTTGATTCTGATTGCCAACTTATACTACGATTTAACCGAAAATAATTACCTAATTTAGATCTTTAATTGAATGCATTATCGTTGATTACAGTATTTATTTTAATATTTAGTTATATTAATTTATACATTCATTATTTATTAATAATTTAAATTTGTCTCTAACAACAAATATTTTAATTTAGTAAAAACGAGAAAGAGCAAACAAGAAATAGCACTAGTGCATTGCGAGAGGTCACGAAGAATCACTGCGGTAGTGGTGGCCATAAGAATTCAGATGTCGTTGCAGAGAAATAACTTTAATTCATAGAAATGTCTAAATGGTTAGAAATTCAAACGGAATAATATTCCCTCCGTCCCTCTCCTAGTGGTGCGTTACCCCTTTCTTGCGCCCCCCCCCCACCTTCCGTTCCACTCTGGTGACTACTCCCCGCTGAATGCGTCACCTTACCGCATTGCATGCACAACTGCTTCCTGCTCTTCTGACATATAACGCCCTACGCAGTTGCGGGCGCGTTATTTCAACGATCCTCGAGCGCCGGCCGATCAAGCATTGAAATCTATGGAGTGGGGGAGGCTTTTGGTTTTTGCGGCTGTGGCGGTTGTCGCAGCGGTAGCTGTGCCTGCCGAACCTCGGCCAGAAGATGGAAGTGTTTCCAATATCTGCGCAATCACCGACGTTTGTAAATGTTCCAAGACTGTCATCACTTGTACGTGTACGAAAGATGTCCAGGTAAGACCGAGATGGTGTATATATTCAAAACGGGCAGGGAAGTGAACGAAAATTAAACTTTGTTAATCGGGTTATTCACAATTTCGTATCCACCTTTGGTGTTTACTGAACAAATATTCTTGGCATTTGTGAGTGAAAAGAAACTTAGTGTTCTCAACAGGTGCTCGGAAAATATATTAATTTTGCCTATACAACCTCGAGTTTGGGAAGGTAGAGGTTATGTTTACAATTCAATACATTTTTACAATTATTCCGATAATTCGATGTTTAATCCCTTAGGCATCTTGCATATTTTTCAGAAATTTACATTGAGAAATCAAGAAACACAAGAGACAAGGCAATAAAAAATATTAAAAACTAATCAGATGATAATTTAATACATAAAAGTGAAATGAAACTGCTTAGAATACTGTGTTCTTCGCTAATAAAGGAGGGTCAGATTCCATTCCGCCTGTCTCAACGCTGATTTAAAGTGACATTACTTTACCATAAAGTCGTCACTCGATGCTGGAACGGTCGTAGAACTACTCGCCAAAGTCGTCAGCGGTGCTTAACCTAGGGAATGTCTTTTTTGAATAAACGTTCTACTTACTTAAAGTATCCAGTTTCGTTCAGACGAGGTCAATTACTTACTTAATCAGCGTAATAACCGATAAATACTGCAAAGACTTGATGAAACTTATTGTAAAGTCGTGACGGATGCATTAAAAGCGCCAAAAAATATGAACATTTACCTCGATTTTTCTCAAATATAAAAAATATGCGATAAAGGAAACGTCAATAATGTTGAACTATTACTTTAGAAATTTATTTGCCGAGCTGAAATAAATATAATTATTTGTTCGTTTGGACAAATTAATTGTTTTGCAATTAGCTTCTTGAAGTGACGGAAGGAAATTTCTTTTGAAAATTAAATTGCGAAAAACTTTGTTGTCCTTGACCCCGTCAAGTTTAAAATTGAATAAAGATTCACATTTAAGAATTTAGATGGAGTGCTCAGTCCTGAATGGAATCTCTGCTGAGAAACTAAAACTGTTCAATGATAAACCTAAAAAAGGGAAAATTGAATATGTACGCAATAATTGCTCGTAAAAACGAAATTTATAGAAATTTTTTCCAGAAAGATTTTAAAAGCAATCTTGCTTCAAATACGCCTAATTATACGAAAAATCTACAAAATTCGAAATTTCAATTAGGATAAATTACATTACAGGAGTTTAAGTTAAAAAAACCTTGCGTGTCTTCGTTTATTGGAATTTTGTTAGTGAAAAAGGATAGAGATAAAAACAACAGGATTTTACGAAGTTTCATTATTACCTTAGACCGCATATCCGTTTGTCTTTCCGGAGTGTCGAAGGAAAGGAATTGTGTGGTTGAAGGTTTCCTACATTAATTTTTTTTTTTACAGAGATTTACTCCGTTGGTTGGAGATGTTAAAACACGGAAGAAAATTTACCTTCGCATGCGCCCTTTCTCCACACGAGCATGTTAAATTCATATGTATTTCTAAAACCTGATGTGGTTATTTTGTTGCGATTTCTTCATCGCAATTTGTGCGCAAATTCTTTTAACCTATAAGCAGTCGCGTAGGAGATCTTCGTGACATGAATGATATTCCCGACCCCCCCCTTTTTTTGTTGCACTAACCCCCTTTTAAAAGAATAGTTTGCTTCATCGACCCCCTTCAACGCTTGCCTACAAGTAACAATTAGAAAAAGAATATAAGCAAATTCTAATTGCACAAACGTTAGATTTTTCATTCATGTGGATGATCGTGAAATTCCAATAAGTTAGCAAATTTGTAATTTATTATTTGAAGCTGTGTAAGAACACAAATAATGAGAAACTTCTTTAATATTTTTAATAGTTTTATAAATTGTATAATTCTAAAGTTATGTAAGTAATGCATTTTGTTTAAATTGTGGATGATAAACCTTAAATTAATTGACTCATATTGTGTACGGAAGTAATAGAAGTTTAAAAAAAAATCTTTTATTTTTTTCTTTAGCTTCAAAAACTATTTCTGATGCATCATAACACTCTTCACCAATAATGATTGAGAAATCTTGTCACAAATACTGAAGAGAAGAGTGGAGGTCAGAGTTGTTGGATCCGCCGACAGAAAATCCGCCCAATGATGAAGTTGAGAAAAAAGTTAGAATAGAAAGAAATCTTCACGGTGAAAATAGTCGCTCTGGAACGACAAAAATACAGCAAATTCGGTCTTTATTTTTTTAAGCAAAGAGCAAACTAATACGCCATTCCCTTTCTTCGCTCGTTGCTTGCAGGGTGCATAGAATGTAGTTGGAAGCCGCCTCGCAGTTTCATTGTTAGGGATCAAATGATTCTCGGCCCCATCCGGCACGGACCGCCGTCGCTAAAGGAGGCTAAAAACGTCCCCTCGTGGAATGGAAGTTATGAAAAAAAGAAGAAAAAAAAACACTAAATTACAACATTGCAGTCCAAAATGCGGCGAAATTCTGCAAAATGAATTTTCTTCCCGCAACCTGTTTTTGTAACTGTAATGACTAGGAGGGGGGGCGGATTTTGATGATCCAAAACATTGTCAAAAATGTTCAATAAAATGCCCTTAAAATGTTTTAAAATGCCATAAAAGCAAAGAGAAATCACGTAAAAAAAAAGTTTGATCTAAATCAGTTCAGATTAACAACTGAAGCTGTTGGATAATATATTACTTGTGTACTGAGGCTTCTTTCTTTCGTTCAAGTGAACTCTGCTTGCAAACATTTGGGTTGGACTGTTCTTTACAAAGGTTCTATGTTTAATTATCGCGAAATCGGCCGAGCAGACAAGGGCGCAGATTTGCGTAATAGGAACCTTAAGATTGCATAGTACTATCAATGACCCACAATATATGAGAGAAGAAATCGAATAGACTACTCAGGGATTCTGTGGTGAACATTTGTTGCATCTCGTAAATATTTGAAGCAAGGACCATTAAAATATTAAAATCGATGAAATCAAAAAATGCTTTACAAATGACGGGAAAGGATAAAAAGTTATTTATTATTCGAAACCGGTGAATAATGTAAAAAAGTCGGGTAAAAATGAATATTTTCCTTACGTTACAACATCAAATATCTATACTATAATGCATTGTTCTAAAGTGGAAAAAAGAATACATTTCATTAAAATCCTCCAAGTAATAGCATTGTTGGCTCAGGAAAATTGGCCCAGGAAAATTTTATTTACTTTCAACAAGTGAATCGAAATGCCTCCTTCGATAAGTATAGAATGCCCGCCTTTGCAAGGAATATTTTTCCCCCATAAAAGAGATATTCGTAAGTCTAGGGTCGTCCTTACTGTTTCGGTTTCATCATAAAACGATGAACACTGAACATACTTAAGTCGGAAATGTAATAATGCCCTTCCCTCAGGAAAGGTACTGGCGCCGATGTATTATGGGGTAGACATTGTGGAATACCAGTGTCATCTCTGGAATCGAGATTGATTTGTGTGATTGATAAAGAGTTAGTCATGCTTTCCCGTCCTGCGTAATTCTACCTAGCTACATCAAGACAGCTAAAGTGGGCTGCCCGCTTCGCACATCCTAGCTCAGCGCTTTCCTGTGGGCCACCGGTCGGTATGGCTCACTGTTAGCAGTCGGCGTCACGAAAGAGGAGAGGTACTCGATCACGATTCTCTCTAGGCCCAAGGGTTTAAAATTCGTCGGGGATTGAGGGCTACTTTGGAAACTAGGCAAGATTGCTGGCCATTCATTAATGTCAGGCAATTTTTTTGTAATATTCTGCGAATAGAAGAGTGTTTATATGAAATAATATACATAGTTTAATTGAAACACGGGTTTAATAATTTTAATTGCTTAATGCACTAATAGTTCCATAAGAGTAAAATTGAAAATAAACAAAAAAGAATAAACCCAGAACAATTGAATTTTGAAAAGGAGCGCTCAGCGATACCGTTCCTTTGAATTAATATTTGAAAAATGGCGAAATAAAAAAAATCGCCAAGAGACAATTTGAACTAAAACGAGACTAAATCAGTTTAGGGAGAGTAGAAGATATTTAGTGAGCTGCATTTACCATGGAACGAATCTACCTCTGGTTCTATTGTTCTTTATCTCAAAAGATGTAGCATGGGAGAATGTCAAAGTCGACTTCTGTACTGATTTTCAATAAACTTCAAAACACTCGCATGAACACGTGTTCCCAAACATTGGAGTAATTTTTAATCTAAATAGTCTTAAGTTTGGATATTTTTCGATGCACAGAAGAATTTAAAAAATTGAAAATATTTGGTCTGTAGGATCGTATCAGTTTGTACATTGCATCGCCCAAGTGGGAGATGTGATTATTGGTCCTCGAAACCATTTTTGTTTCCACTTACTATTAAATCTTTGTCGGCTTCATTTGTCAATTTTTGCCATATTAAAATAAAAACATTTTTTCAATGAGTTACAAATCTAGAGAAAAAATTAGTTTTTCAAAAAGCTCGAGATCGCCGCAGAAAATTAGCCCGCAGACCGCCAGTTGGAAATTTCTACTGTCTAGTGAAAGAGTGACACGGGGGCAACTGTAAAGAGCCTGCACCTACAGCCTGGCCCAATTAGAGCAGCCCTGATTTTCAACTCTTAATCTGGCGCGTGGCCATCGGGGCTGGGGTGGGGTTACAACAATACAGGACGTCAGTTTTTCTCCTCGAAGCATTACGAAATCACGAAAAGTAAAAGAATATTATTTTAGTTCAATTTTTGTTACAACACTGTTCGACCGGGACTGTATCTTTGGAATCTATATTTTTCGGTTAGGGTGTAAAATATCGGACTAGGTGCTGACATACAAATCTTCGCTTTTGCGATCAGATCACCCAAAAAATGAATTTGAAACTGTTCAAATGTTTAAAGTTCTACGATATGATATGAAAATAAAATGGCAAACAACTAATTTTGAAATAAATTATTCCCTGCAACGTGTACTATAGTGATAATGCTGTAAAAATATTGGTTGAGCATTCATCCAGAAGGAAAAAGGTCCATCTCAGTATTTGCTCAATATAAATGGGAACTGGACAAACAGCCTGGTCAAGATAGGAGCCCATGAACCCACAAAAAAGCCGGATACAGGAGACCACGTAGAAGGTCTATATTTTGTTTGTTTCGTGAGATCTCAAATAGAAAATTATATTTGGCATTCTTTCGTCGGGAGCATCGAAAAGCGAAAAAAGGAGACCGAGAAAATTCGGGGCAATAAGCAATTGAGTTTTACAGGGTAACAAGACTGAAATTGAAAAACAAGACTATCCCGTATTTTTCGGGACATATAGGAAACCTGACACGAAGGAGGACGCATTATGACGACCGAAACGTTAGCAACCATGGCTAAATTAGGACGCGAAATCCCTCTAACAGCCAAGAATATATCACAATGAACGTACAGCATAAAATAGGATCATCATGTGGATTAATTCCTTTCGACGTCAACGACCAAAGTTGATATTTCCCGAACGATCTGACAATGTCACGGCCCCTTGAATTGGAAACGGATAGTTTGGTTCTTGGGACTATTTTACACATCATTTTCAATTTTTTTTCAAAAATGGCTCTAATTTTTCTTAATATTTTTTCCTTTGATAAAACAAAAGATTCATAAAGAAAAGACACATTTAGTATATTAACCAGTTATAGACGACGCGGGACGCATGGTCGGATTACTTAAAACAGTGATGTATTGCTCACCTTTTTTTGGGGGGAGAGAGTTAAATTCAGTTACACGTAACTATAAATGATTCACTTGAAAAATAATAAAAACTTCCAACTGTAAATTATTGCTGCTGCGTCTGTAATAGTTGCTTTTGCCAATCTATTGTGACACTATTCTGCACAGATCGTGATGTAATCGTTGAACTTTAGCACAGATCATAATTTTTCCACCATGGCACTGATGACCTGCACATGGTTGAATTTTTTACTGCAACTACGCCATAGCAGTTGAAGATTGTGTACAGCTCGAAACAAATAATTAAATATTTAAACTTAGTGTATGTATTGCTTTATAGTCCTTCTGATATCAGCCATTACATACTTATCTATTGTGGTGCATAGTATGTGTACACTGACTGAAAACTATTTTGTGTTAAGAGTGTTCATTTATCTTGCTTTTGTCGAAAATGTTGCATAGGAATATCTTGTGCCAAAGACTTCAATTCAATGTTCATTTGATTCAAATTATTTGTCAACAAAATTTTGCAGAATTCATAAAATAAGGTTTTGAATTAAAGGATCTAAAAATTGAATTTTTTTGAATGTATAGTTTTTTAACAACAATTTGAATGTATAGTCATTATTGAATGTATAGTTTTTTTAACAACATTTTTTTAAATTGTTTATTTAGTGGTGTTTTTCCTTAAATCTGGCCCTGAATAAATCTTAATTTTCTTTTGACAATACATGACAGAATTAAAATGAGGGTCAGAAAATTCTTCCTCTAATTAAATCATTTCTTACTAGCATTAAATAAAATAAGACCATCCTGCATGTAAATTGTATTAGTAAGTGAAGAATTCTTTGATGAAATGGTCTTCCTCAGGATTGTGAAAATTTGGGTTATAATTTAAGATATGGAAAGTGAAAATTAAAAAATTTTGAATATTCAGCATCAATTCAGCAATTTCTTAAAGCTTATTGTTATGGAGCATATTTCTATAATTTTGCATATTTTGTCTGTTGCTTCAGAGCTTAACTAAATGAAATTTCTTGACATTTGATTAGAACTGGATGCTCTGTAGATTAAAATGTTAGTGCATACTTGTGAATATTTGGCTGACATTTCCTGTTAGTGCATATTTGAATAATTATGTGAGCACATTTCATTAAAATAGACTTCTCTAAAACATTCTTTTCATAAAATCTATTTATTTGGGTGCGTTAAGAAATAAAGTGAAATGGTAGGATGAAAATGCGTTGTCATTACACTATTGAAAAGGAACAACATACAATAGATGTTTGTGCAAATGTAGGATTTTTCTTGATACATTTAAACCTGGCAGATGAAATGCACTGAGATACAATGTATATCATTAAGATGAATATTTACTTCAATTCTTTCTCCTGAAAAATAAAGTAGATTATATTATGTTTGCTGAGAAATATATATTTTCATTCCAGGCATACTTATTCTGAAATTTTATTAAGAAAGGTTTACATAGATAATTAAATATGGATAATTTTAATTGCATATTAAAGTGCATATTACAGAATTTTTAGGTCACTAACATCTTCTCCTTACTTATTATAATGTTAATATTATATTTCTCTCTTGCTTCCTTTCAGAATTTAATTGTGAAAACTGGGGCAATTTCAGAAGCAAATTTACAGACATTGACAAACTTCGAAGTGAAAGACTGTGGTTCTTTGTCTCTTTTTGAGAATGCTTTTGAATCTGCCTCTGGTCTTGAATTGGTACACATTTCAAATGTAAAGAATGTATCCTTCAGTTCAAATGTCTTTCAAAAACTACAGGCTCTAATGGTTTGTATATTTTTATAGTATGTATAAATATCCTTTAGAACTCTTTCATATAATTACTTCATCACTTCAATGAGATTAAAAGGCATTGTCAATGCTAACATTTTTGTTAAAACATTTGATCATCGCAAAGTTGCTAATAATCTAGTAATAAACCAAGTGTTTGCAATGACAACCCCAAATATTCTTATATTTGGAATTCCAACAACTCATCACCAATAAATGAATGATAACCAATAAATAAGGAGTATAACGTAACAAAATAAAGAAAAATAAAGATAATTGGTGACAAAATTATCAAGTTTTATTCAAAACTTCCCAAGGCAAATGTCAGTGATGACTTAGATACCCTAAATTTATAAAAAAATATAAAAAATTGATGCTCTTAAAATATGATAAAATTTAAACCCATTTCTGCATTAAAGTAACATGAATAAAAAATGTTTGCATACATTTTTTTCATTTGTGAAATACATTAAATTAATTTTTTCACAGGTTAACCTAGTAGGTTCATTCATATTACACAAAGGATCTTTTGAAGGAATGCATGGACTCAACAACATAGTTATAATGAAAACTCACATTCCATTGCTTACTGAGGGAATACTGTATAATATTAAAGACCTTCAAGAATTCAAATTGGGGGAAGTCAATATATCTAAGATAGAGAAGAATGCTGTTTTAATAGATTTGAAGCAGTTGGGAAGCAAAGCAGAAATTCTTCAAAGCAAGGTAAGATACACAAGCATTTTGTTCCTTACTGAAGGTATGTTTGTGACACCAACAAAAACTTCATAACATAAAATGATAATTTCACATTATTACATTAATTAAACTTGATGAACTGAATTGTTTCATTAATGTAATGATTTTCAAATTTTTTAAATCTGATATTCCGTTCATACCATTCTCAATTGTTTATCTATTTAAACTAGAAATTCTAAAATTAAAGTTAACATTTTGGATAATCAGGCCCTACATATTCACTAATAAACAAATTATGGTTACTTACACATTTTGTAATTTGTCATTTTAAATTTTTTTTTCCAGATTGGAATTGTTGAAGAAAGGGGTTTGCAAATTGGAAATGGTTCTTCCATCATTCTGCAAGATACAGAAATACACAAGGCAGAAAAGAACAGCATTAGACTCGGAGCTCTTAAGACTTTCAAAATGAAAGGCAACAAATTCCAGCCTGAGGTTGATATTGAAGCTGCAAAAATTATATACAAAAACAGCATTGAGTTTTCAATGAATATTTTATTAAATGTAGACCTTTCAGATGTTGCTAATATTGCACATATGCCTGAAAATGAAACCATTTTCACATTAGACAGACTAGTTACTTTACATGGTGGAAATTATGTTAATTGTAAATGTATAAATCCTACATCGACTCCTTCAGAATCACTGAAGCAGAACCGTTGTGTTAATGGTTGTTCTAAAGCAACTGTAGAATCATTTTTGCAGAGTTGTCAAAGCAACAATGCAGTATCTGTGGAAGACAGGCTAAAAATGCTCTGCAAGAACACTGTCGACAGTTCTACTACCACAGCAATTCCTCAAACACCTCCAACACACAAAATCACATCTCCACTACCCACAAAAGGTTCATCTGGGAAAATGTCTTTTTATGTTCTAATGCCTTTTGTATTCTTCTTCTTTCATTTGATGTTGTAGATACTAATGGTAAAATAAATAAGCCAGATGGATTAGATTATTTTCCTATGTTAAATATTTTTTTGAACTGTTCAATAAAATTTTTGTTACAAAAGGCACTTCAGTAGTTTTTGTATCAAATCCTGAATTTCAGATCCTTTTTTAGTAAATTGTGCATTCATATTTTTTTGTACATGGTCATAGACTGAAATTAACATCAAGCCTCGAAAAATATACAATTTATATTAATAAAATAATTTTTTACAAGAGAATAAAGTTTTGGTTACATTTTTTGAGATTAAAAGATACTCGTAAATAATTCCCCACATTAATTTCATTGAAGATTTGCTTTAAAGACCTTCATTTTAATGGTCAAAAGTTTTCCTTTTGAACAAGATGAAATTAGCAAATGTAGTTAAAGGATTCATAGTTGTCCTGATATTTTTATTCTTCTTTAATTTATGAAGTTTGTGAAGACAGGTGCAACAGACTGAAGTTGAAATGGGCTGGAAGCTTCTCAAAGTTAACCATGAATTTGTTTCATAAACTTAATTTCCATGTGTACAAACTAGATCAAAATAGTTTTTTTTTTTCCAGCTCTGGGTACGCCTCTTTTGAATTCGACCTGTCTTTATGAATTTTTTAAACCTTTTCACTATTTTAAAAGTGGATCAAAAGATAATGAAAAGTTATTAGTTATTCACATGCGTGTGTGTTTAGTAGTGCTGCATGTACAAAATCTGTACTCCTCAGCATGAGTGATATAAACAGGGTGTAGAAAACAATCTTTACTATCTCTCCATCCCCCAGAAGAACAGGTGATAGGAGAGAATGGCTAATGGGAAGTGGGAATGGAGGGGTGATGCTTGTCCACATGTTCATGATCCGATCTCCCTTGGTTCCATGGCTAGCACAACGCTCTTACAAGACTGTATAATTTCACTTCTACAGATAAGTTGACAATAAACCCTCCTCTATATAAAATTATATAAATAATTTCACAGCAAGTTGCACTGATGGAACTGATTTATTTGCAGACTTTGTCTTCGATTTGTCATTTTGTGAATAATTATCTTGCCCCCTTCTACAAACTAGTTATTTTTTGTATGAATACTAGCCCGTAATTGGGTATATACCTACTGGCTTTATCTATTACTAGCAGAAGTGCCCCGCGTGGCCGTAGTATTTATAATAGGTAATACCACAAATGCTTATGAAATTGTCGATAAATTCCCAAGTCGCTAAGCGAGGAGGAGGTGAAATTATATCCAACAGAGTTCCAAAATACGCCAAGTATTGAAATTAACTGAAAGCGTTGTTAAAATCAAAGAGTTATTTACGCTGTGTACTGGACATCGACATAGCGATCGATGTGTACCGCTTTGGTGAGTCACAGTTTGATTGGTCAAAAGGGAGAAATGGTCAGAATAATCGGATAGAACTACTGGTGCTACAGAATGGCACAGAATTCCCCATATTAGTTTTCTATTTCTTTTGGTCTCGGCTAGCTATTCGAACTTGCCACATACTCTTGCCTCCTCCCATCTGTCGCCGCCCAAAATATATTTTTTTGAAATTTTCTTAATTTTTCGGTTTATTAATAATAGAACGGAAATATGATTTAAAGAATATTAAAGAACAGTAAAACAGCGTCCTACATGTCAATTTTTTTTGAAAAAAATGGAGCCGTTTTTAAGATAATGGCGCCTAAGCGGTACAGTGTATTCGAAATTTGAAGCCCTTTTTCACAGAAAAGTTTTGTTTTCTAAAAATTTCATTAGACGTCATTTGTAGCACATTAATTCACATATAGAATAGTGTTTACAAATTGCTGGAAATGTACATATGAACGGTGCGGGAGATATTTTTTAAAAAATCAGTTGTGTAATTAAAAAACAACGAAATGAACTTTACGTCATATTAAAGAGTGCAATTAGCATTATCCGTTCGAGAAGATCGAAGAAAAAAATGGAGCCTTTTCAAGAAAATGGCGTTTGAGCGTTTCTGAAATTGCGATATTTTGAGCTAGTTTAGACAGAAAGCGGTTGAGTTTTCGAGAAGCTTTATGTGACCTTATTTAAAGCACATGTACTAATAAATATTATAATATGTAAAAAATTAATCTTTTGAAATTTTCGGAAATTCCCAGTTAACCGTGAAAATCGGACCTCTGCTGCATTTATAAGTGTATTTTACTCTATTCTTACAAGAAATTTAAAGAAAAAAATTTGAACCATTTTTAAGAAACTTTTGAAAATGTCCCTGGGGCTTCATGTAAAGTACCCCCAAAAACTAATGAATGATTTACAAAATCGCAGAGCTTTGACTCAGGTCAAATGGACAGGGGTTTCTTCAATTTGAAGAAAATCCTTCGCATGGTTTAGTCGCTAGTGTTTTTTACGTACACCAGAAAGACAAACGGACGGTCGGAAATTAAAAAAAAATTCGGAATCGAAATCGATTTTACTCAGCATTACATAACTTTCCCTCTATACATACTTATACGACTATATTGTAACACCTCCCGGCGTAGGGAAACGCGCGGTTAGCGGCCCGGTTCTAGCTCAGTCGGTCCTATTCCCCTTACTCGTATAAAAACTAGCCAATTGTAACAACTTTACTCGTGTGAAAACTAGCCAATTGTAACAATTTCCTTAACTTAAGATTCAGTGATGGAAGGCATTGTAAGCTAAAGCATGCATGGGCATTCAAAATAAACAATTTGATTACTGGTACAAGACAATGTTTATTCCTGGACAGAGCTGTACCAGGGAAGTTACATTAAAAAATAAAAGAAAGAAAAGATTGAATAAAAGGAAAAAATAAAGATTACAATTAGAAGGAAAGCTTACAACTAGAGAAGTGTACAAAAGTATTTTATTGTTAGATTTACAGAGTTGTCCCTGAGGACCTTTCTTGTGCCTTGGCGCGGCACCGCTTTGACAATACTGCAAAAAGGTTTATTGCCCCCAGTTACAATGCCTGAGAGCCCTTCGTGGCAGATGTTCTGTAGGCCGGGTGGCGCGGTGGGCGACCTTCGCAGGAATTCGTTCGGGGCGCACGCCCCCACAACAGCAGGGTGGCAGCGGCGTCTGTGGCAGTCCGTGACGTCAGCAGACGGGTCGTCTGGAGGCTTCTTCGGCAAATTTGTAGATAACTGGCGATCTTGCCTGCGATCGCAGGTGCGGAGCACACAACAATGTCTCCCTCTGCGTATGCGATTCCTCTCGAATAAAAATTTCAGTAACTGCGAAATCCTGCAGCGAATACGCAGTGACAAAAGGATTCGACAATTTACTTTTGAAGTGCTTTTGCACTCCCTCTAAAATTCTCACTGAGAATAAGTGAGATATGAATTTCACTTCATATGTTACAAATTTCAGTGATACAATCTTTAATAAATGGATAATTATTATTAATAAAATGTATTTCACTTACCTTTAAATAATTTCTCTTCAGCACCTCATAAATAGCATGACACAAATAACAATTAGAATCGACACCTTTGTGTGCAAATAATCTAGATTTAGGTTTATTTAGACAAAAAACAGAACAAACTATGTGACGTATGGGGGAGAACTTACCTGCGCACGTTTTCTTGAGTTCCAGAATCTCTTCGTGTCATTTTAACTATAAATAGTTGAAAGATGAGTAAAAGTTTAAAATAAATAAATAAAAATTAATTTTAAAACATCACAAGATTAGCAATATTTGAAAAAAATAGACATTTTCGTTTTCGAATTATAGAAAACTTATTTCCAACGGTAAACGAATTGCAAGTATGATTTTTCTGCTTTGCTAACAAAATAGCAACTCACCCTTACCTCTACTCGTAAAAGGAGAGTTCAACAAATACAAAACGTGCGTCATAGTGAAGCTACATTTACGTCCAGAAGCAAAACAAGGAGCCATCTCAGCATTTGCTCAATGGATGAGGGCAACTGGACAAAAACCTGATAGACGGGGGTCATTGACCCAGAAGCTGAAGTACATTATTTGTTACAAACATTTTAAGTCTTTTAAAAATATGTACAATACAAATGTAAACTGATTCAATATATATCACTGTTTTGTTAAAATAAACATTATTTATCTTTTTGATAATCAGTATAGTCTAATTGTATAGAAACAGTTATGCAGCAGAAAAGATTTTACTTTTAACTTAAATTTGTGAAAATGGTGATCTGAGTTAAACTAATTAATACAGTTCAATAATAATGTATTAAATAATTAACAAAATTGAAAACAGTGTGTCATTGCAGCAGAATTAACTTAAAGCATTAACATTTAGGAATATTTTGGTGTTTATAATACGGCCAAATTTACTCCCCCCACCTTCTCCAATAAAAGATCCGAAATCCTGCCTCTGCACATATCCCTTTATTCTTAAGACAATATAATAAAAAAATAAAAACATACCTCTACACTCTATGCAAACAAACTTGCTATGAGCATTTTTCATTTTAGAACTGTATTTGAGTAATGCTGCACTCTAAGAGACAACTTCTGCTTATGTAGTCTATACCTAAACGAATACTGAACACAAGACTCTTGGCATTCGTGAAGTTGAAAATAGTCAGTGACTTAGGAAAAAATTTAAATTTCTGTAGCAGGTGTATGAAGAAAAATTAAATATTTAATTTTAAGTAGTAATACTAATTACTAAAGAAAATAGTCTTCATAAATATATTCTAAAGTTCCTTGACATTGGTCCCAAAGTCCCAAAGTTCTTTTGAACTTTAGTTATTGGTTCTAGGTCAATCTTGAAAAGCTATTAATTAAAAGTTGAAATCAACATCAAAACAGGCAGTCCTTCAAAAACTCAGGTTTCAAAGTTTAAAATTTTCTAAACTACCAAATTTATAGAAACCAAATTGTTACTACTGAAATATAAAATATTTAAAAAACAATACAAGCAACAACAAAATTATACAATAATATAAAGAAACAGTCAGAATTTTTTAGGTAGTGCTTCTGCTGACAGGTCTACAGCATAAAAGCAATTGCCCAACAGCAATTTGTGAATGATTGTTTTAAAGTATCTTGATCTTAAATATTCTGAGGAAGTTGGCTCTATAGATGCAATCCAATATAGTCAACACTTACTTCATAAAGTTTGGTGCTGTGATGTGAATTTTCTTGTATTGTGGTTATGTATCATCAAATTTTTCTTCGCAATTTGAAGAGTGAGTTTCATTGATTCAATGCTTTAGAGTATAAATAAGCGAAGTATTGGTAGAATTATTAGAGATATGAAGAATGGTTGCAACTTGTAGTGCGAGAAATATCAGATTTCCTTATCGCTCTCATCTGAATAATGAACATTTTTTAGATACAGTTACTTTAACCCAAAATATGATTCCATAAGTTACAACCAGAAAATGAATTTTCTCTGTAAATTCTTCACATGAGTTTTCCAATTTAAATTTTTATTTACCCAGACTCCTAGAAATCGAATTCTGATGTTTCTCTCCAAATCATTTATATTCTTTTCAAATAAAAGAGGGCCCAGAATTGATCCTTGAGGCCTCTCTATGTTTATTTATTTCAGTTCTGATTGCCTCCAAATAAGTGTTGTTCCTAATACACATCT